GAATATTATTTTTTTGAAGAATGTGTGAAAAGAAAAGAAAAGTTTTCGACTTACATGTAATATTATTTTATAGAAGATTGTGTGATTGAAAATAAGAGAGAAAAAATTATAATTTGAAATAATGGGAGCCATACAGGGCTTAGTTGAATTGAATATGCCTTCAATAAGAATCTAGCTCACACTTGGAAAAAACATATTAACCTAAAAAGCGGCATTTAAGTAGAAATAAATAAACCATCATTTGAAAGTTTTCCAAATGGAAAAACAAATGGGAAATAACAAACAATTCAGGTACATCATTGTCATTCAGACACAAGCTTGTCACAGTACAGTAACATTCCAAATTATAGCCCCACAAGAAAAAATATTAACACAAAAATAAAATCAATCACATTTATAAATTTTGTTGAATCAAAATATTTACACAAGCAGATAGACAACAAAGTCGTGGAGAGACCATAAAACAAATTGAAAACATAACTAATAGAGGTTACTCATTTTCTAACCTTTTCTACACTTCATTTAGGGTGAACTACACCCAATAGAGAGAGAGAAGAAATGTCCTGTAATGGCTTGATGTTTCTGAATGAATTGCATCAATCAGAGATTTTTCGTGTTTCTTTTCGTACTCTACTTTTATGTATTGCATATCAATATCTGCTCGAGTCACTATTACTCTAGTAAGTGTTGTATCATCTGTTCCCATGCCCTTCATTACCTTGTGCAGTACCTAAGTTAAGTTACAGAGAATCGTGGTCGTTTCAAGGGCTAGTGATACAAAAGTTAGCAATTTAAAGGTATCTAGTTTTTGCACTAAATGCATTCAAACTGAGAAAACAAGGAAAGAATGAAAATCAAACACTAAAAGAGCATTATGAGTATACAAGATTGAAATTATTGGAAATAAAATATGTTCTTTTTGAGATAATGTTGTTGATAAATGTAATATTTACCTTAGCAAAGTACTTCCCAGGGTTTTCAGCACACTTTAATATAGTCAAAAGGGCAAACTTAAAGCGTCCCGAGGTTTCACTTTTTATGGCCTGCAACAAGATGAATTATTTAGTGAATGGACATAGGAAAGCTTAAGCAAAATGATGAAAGGAAGCAGTATACCTTTTTCAGTGACCCGCCATGCTTGCTATGATAAGAAGAAAAAATAGTAGCCAACCGTGGCCTGCTTATTTTGGAGAAAATGCATATGAAAATCTTCTCATCAGTCCCCAGCTTCACTTCCCCAGTTTATAATGAGATTTAGCATCAAACTATGCCATTAGCCGGTCAACTTTTAGACCTTCATAGTGCATTGTACTAACGCAAGCAACAACTACAAAATAGAAATAAAATAGAATGTGTGAGGAATGATACAATTAGAATATACGGGTGGTACTAAAATAAATTTATAACAGGATTATTACGTTTTAATTGAGTTGAATTATGTTTTCAAGTTATCCTTTCTCATTTATGATTGGTTTTAGCATTAAGGTCAATTTTTTTGAAAGTGAACTACATTCCCTTTCAAATTGGAATCCGTCTTTTAGTCTATATAAGATTCTACATTACTTTTCCTTTCATCAGATTTGAATAGTATTATTCCTGAAACAAAGGAAAGCTTGTAGTTATAGTATAATTTAAAGGTTAAAGTCAAACTTTAATTTTAGCCACACATTTTGAGGACCCACTTATTCATCACTCATTTCCATCACATATTATTATTTTAGCAACCTATAAACAAATCCAAAAAAAGTACAAATTGTCTTCTAAAAGTTATTTTTGCATTTTAGGACCATATGCACTGGAGGACCGGTTCACTAGTGTGAGTTTGATCTTATTCCTTTTGTAACCTATCAGCCTTCAAACTCTCATAAATTTTTTTTGATAATTTTGATAATTTTTCATAGTTCATGCTATTATAGAGTTCAGATAACTATTAGTTCTACAAAAGTTATGTCTTTGACAAGCCAATTTTAGAGGTTGATTTTGTTGAGATTGATAAATATAACGCATTTTGCATTCTTCTATGATTGTGGTTTTCCTCCCCTAAGAAAATCATGTGTCTCTTTAGTTGTCTATTTCTTTACTCTTTGATGTGTGTCCGACTCAATCTTCTTTATTTTCCTAGGCTCAGCACAAGTCCTAACAGATTTCGATAAATTGAATAGGTGGAGAGATATTGTGCTTCGATTTACGAAGTACTCTGCAAATAGATCCATGAGGAGATCGTTTTTGTTGTATAAATTGTATGGCACAATATAACCATCGAAGAATACACAAAATATGCTCATTTTGGTGGCACGGATCTACTTTAGGTATAGTGTCTGGAAAACTCTAGTTTTGAATTTATTGGAACTATCTGGTCCTATTTATCTAATCTTAGCAATTTAAGATTTTTCAGAAGGGAGGACATTAATCTTTAAGTAAAATTTATGTGTAACAATCTCCAGCCAAAGGGAATAAAGTTCCTTAACTCCGAACGAAATAGTTGTTAAAAGAGCTCTATTTACGAGCAGCATACCAAACATTACCTATTGGCATGGTGCAGCTCCTTTCAATCTAACAGATTCAAGTCTTAACGAAGTAATCAACATTGCACATGAGCCATATAAAAGGTCACGAACTTGTATTATGGTATAGCAGATCTCAATCAAAACATGCAATTTTAGATTACTTATGAAAAACTAGGAATTTTCTAGAACAGGACTTTAAGGGATCAAAATGTTTGTAAAACATCAAAACTGGTTTGTGCATTTGTTTATGTGTGTGTGTGTGTGTGAGTGTGTGAGTGAGAGAGACTTTTTGTGATCGCCAGATGCTTGATTTTCAATATCATGCTCAAGGTAAGCATGAAACGATGCATGGTAAATTTG